CCCCTGCCCTAGGCAGAAGTCAGGGAACCTCTTTCCGGGCAAGGGGCACCTTCTAAAACCCCAAATATGGCCAAGCTCTTCCTCACGCAATCTACAAAGCTCTGCGCCCCCCAGCCCCTCAGGCCCTGACCTCTGCTCCTACCCATTCCCTCGCGCCCCAGCCAGGCCACACAGACCTGTGTAGCCCATCTTACTTCTGCAAGGTGGTCCCCTCCCACCTCAAGGCTGATGCTTCTCCTCATCTCACCGCGGCGATCTGGGATCAGCGCAGAGGCCTTCCCCTATAGTCCATTTAAAGAAGCACCGAGTGGCACCTGATTTTAACTCACTGCCTAGCACCCGCCCCTTTCACCTGCCCCTCATTTAGTCACCTGGTTCAGGACTTGTTTCCCTCAGCTCTGTGAGTTCAGGGCCTCTGTCGAGTGCACTGCTGTATCCCCAGCACCTGAAGCTACACCAGGCACACAGTAGGTGCTCAAGAAATGGTGGTAGGTGAACACATGCCTGTCCTCAGCTCTGCAGTGCCTGTGGAATCAAAGCCACACTTCCCATCAGGCCCACAGGGCTCTGTGCAGCCGGCCTGACTCCCACCTGCACTCCTGCTGGCGCCCACCTTCCACTTGCCACTCGTTGGGATTGAGGGGTGAGTCCACAAGAGCACCTATGGAAAGAGAGTTCAGCTGAGCCTGGCAGAAGCTAGAAGGGGCTCAGGGCAGCAACTGTGTGGGAGACGGAGGGCGCCTAGATGTCGGTTTTTATGTGATTGTAATCCCTCCCACTTCCAAGCCTCTAGAACTTCTGCTTCCTCCTCTGGAAAAAGTGGTGATGCTAATTTTGGTCCTGCCCTCCTGCTGGTATTATCTGACAAGGCTCTAAAAACTAGGAAGGGCCTTCAAAATCCTAGCAGAAATAGTACTAATAACAATTGTTAAGCCACCCTCTTCTTACTGTAAGCGTACTGCCATACCAGCACAGTTAGAAATGCTTTCCACAAATTATCCCATTTAGCCTCTATAATAACCTATCAAGCAGGAATCATCATCATCCCAAGATGTAGATGATGAAATGAGCTCAGAAGGGTGGAGGAACCTGCTCAAGGTCACACAGAGGCAGGCTTGAACCCTGGGCTCTGAATCATTTCGATGCATTTTTTAAAAGATTTATTTATTTACACAAGAATTGGGGTACAGTCAGAGGCGCAGGAGGGTGAGAGAATTCACCTGAGACAGAGCGGGGAACAGAACAGGCAGACAAACAGAAGACACTGCTGAGGGGAGCAGCGGGTGAGGCAGGAGAGGTCTGCCGTGCCATGTGGGTTTCTCCCTGGCCGGCCAGGAATCAAACCCGGGCTGCAGACAGCCTAACAGTGTTGCGCTCAACCCGCTGTGCCACAGGGGAGGCCTTCAATGCAGTTTTTTTAAGATTTTTTTTTTTTTACTTATGCATACAAGAACTGGGGTCTAGGCCAGAGGTGAGTGGGGTGAGAGGAATCACCAGAGACAGAATGGGGAGCAGAACAGGTGGATTTACTGAAATACACTGCTGAGGGGAGCAGCGGGCAAGACAGGAGAAGTCTCGCCCCGTGGCCAGGTCAGCAACCCGGCCAGGGATCGAACTCATGCCTCAGTGGCTGGTGATAGCTTGATGCACTGAGACTTTAACCCCTGCACCACCAGGGAAGCTCCCAATGCAGCTTTTTAGAGGTTTTTAGAGGACACCATATTCCTGGATCCTGATTGCATCAGGCTGGGGGGCCAGATACAGGGACACTTGAGAGGACCAAGGGTGGGGTGTGGGAGAGGGCAACCCCCTGGGGACTGACTCGTCGATGAACTCATTTAATCCTCTCAACAACCCGATGTGGTGCCCTTCTGGGCTCACTGCACAGAGAAGAACAGTGTGGCCCAAGGTAACACAGCGAGAATGTGCCAGCGCGAGACCTCACACACATGCCACTGTGCCATCCTTGCACAGGGAACCCCGGTAGCTGTCTCTCTTGCTGTCTTCTCCTGTCTCCCGGCATACACTCTACTCTGTATTAAAAGCTACCCAGGCTCAACTCTAAGGAGGAACCATCTCATCACAAGTCCAGAACAGCTGGACTGGCTACAGGTGGGCATCGCCACAGTCCTAGGCTCAGAGGGTAAGAGAAATGAAATGCAAAAGGACCCACTCCAGCTTGGGACCTGCTGAGCAAAGAGCACAAGGCAGCAGGGGCAAGCAGTCTCTGTTTAAACCCCACTGTGGGCCTCCCCGGTGGCACAGTGGTTGAGCGCTGGGTTGCGAAGCTGCCCGCAGCCTCTGCAGCACCAGTTCGATCCCCGGCCACCGGGTGAGAGTCCCACATGGCATGCAGACCTCCCCTGCTGCCCACTGCTCCTCTCAGCAGTGTACTTCGTCAGTCTGTCTGCTCTGCTCTGCGCTCTGCCTCTGGTGAATTCTCTCACCCTCCCGCGCGTCTGACTGTACCCAGTGCTTGTATAAATAAATCTTTTGGGAAAAAAATAAATAAATAAATAAACCCCAGTGTGGCCCCTATGGCCTGACAGACTCAGAGCAAGGCAACGCCTCCTTGGAGGCTCACTGTACGACTGCGTGGACAAACACCATATCCACCCTGCGGTGCCGCTAAGTCACTGTTCAGTTACTTGTTGACAAAAGTTTCACACTGAAATCAAACCAGGCCGGGGGTTACATCCCAGCACTACCCCTTCCAGCTGTGAGACCTGGGCCAGATCATTTTGCTTCACAGCAAGTGTTCTCAGTTTCTTCATCTCTAAAATGGGTACCATACTTCTACCTACCTCATAGGACTCTATGACAGGACGCAACCATGCCTGTCCCATGGCTGTGTTTTGAGATTTTAGTGAGGTCATGTGTGCCTGTCACATGCCTGGTGTACGGTGAAGGGTCAATAAACACTGGCTCTTCAGTTCTAAACATGACGTGTCTCCCTGTGTCTCAGTTTCGTGGTATAAAACGGAGATCATGACAACAGCACCCACAGCCTAGGATGTGAATATTCAGCAAGCTGATGTGAATCGACTGAACAGCATGCGGCACAGAGAATGCACTCAATAGATGGCAGTCCTCAACCTCAGGATTGCTGCTTATAGTGCTGCTGCTCCCCCCATCAGATGAACCCTCAAAAAGCTGTCAGGAGGAGACCAAAGGACAAACCCTCAGTGGAGTAAACTTCCACAGACACACACTCAGAGACCTCTCTCTCTTGGAACCACCATCCATGGACATCAATCGGCTTAGAAGCCAATGGTGTGGACCAGAAGTGATTGTCTGCCCCTTTGACCACATCACCAACCCATGTTACCTGGGTCAACCAGGGACTGTGGTCATCCCCCTGGGAACTCCAGACCTAGGGCAAAGGTTACAGGGCAAGCTGAGGTCACGAGATGGCCTGGGGAGCAGGGGCAGAGGCCTGCCCCAAGGCTGGCTGCTCCAAGCAACCGGTGAGTGACCAGCGTGAGAAACCAGGTCCGTGAAGGGCTGGGTTGCTCCAAGTGCTTCAGAGCAGCCTTTCTCTCTGGGTTGGGCCAGGCCATGAGCGCCCCCTCCCAAATCCCCTTGACCTATGCAGAGATGAACAGCTGGAAAAACAGCGCTCAGCCTCATCTTGTTAATGGTGAGGCCAACTGCGATGGACTGGTGGGAGCATAAACGTGCTGGAGGGCTGGACTGCTAAGCAGGGAGACACAGACAGCCTCCTGAACACACTGGTGCCTGGTCCCTTCACCCCCACCAGGACGGAACTCTCCACATTTCACTGAAAAGGAAAAGTGGACAGGTTGAAAGGCAGCCCCTTAGAGGACCTGATTACTAAGGCCAGACCTCCTGCGAAGCTCAAGGGGCCTCCAAATGAGAGGAAGAGGGTCCTCAGAATCCCAAGGATCGAGAGGTCTCAGCCACCGGGCCCTGGGGGAGAGGTATCCCTCCAAACACTCCTTCCACCTAAGTCTGAACAAGAATTCCAGGGACATAGCTCCTGGAATCCAGCTCAATACCTTCCTCCCCTCCCTAATACGAAACCTGAAGTTCAGAAACCTTCAGCCAGTGGTTTCTAAGACATCTACCCCACCCTTCCCAGGGAAAGAAAGAATGTGCCACAGAGGAGTCCCACACACCTTAAGATTAAGTTTAATAATGAAAGCGTTCTGAGCAGACAGCAGCTGGAGTGACCACGCAGAGCCCCCCGCTCAAGGAAGAAGTTCGACAAACGGAGATCCTACCCCCGCACGCCCCCAGCCCGTCCTCCACCCTCGGGGTAGACCCCCAGCCCCACCCACCGAACACAGGCGGCAGAAGCCCCTCCTCATCGGTTGGCATCACAACCTTCCCCACCTACGCCCCTGAACACCCACTTGGGCCGGTCCCGTCCCGCAGAGAGTATAAACATCGCAGCCTTCCTCCAAGCACCGCGCTGCTCTACCTTCTCAGGACGGCTCCCCCCAGCACCTTAGTGGTATAATCCACACGGCGCTCCCCCGGCCTCACTTGGTACAGTTCCCCCCCCCCCAGAAGCCCCCCAGCTCTCTAAATATACTACGGGAAAGGCTCCCACGGCCCGGAGTAAGTCCAGCCCCCTCCGCTGGGGCCGGCGCGCCCCCTCAACGGCTTGGCTCTCGCTCGCCAGCCACGCTCTCCCCGCACACCCCACTGCTCGGTCCCAGCCCGCACACACTGGGGTCTGCGCCCCCAGCCCTTGATGGTTCGGTCCTCGCACCTTTGGTATGTCCCCCCCCCAAGGCTTCGGTGGTACGGCCCGCCGCCTCCGCCCCCGGACCCTCAGGGCTAGTCCGTCCGCCCCCGCGTAGCCACCCCACTCAGTCCCGGAAGGGGGGACTCGAGGACCGCGGCCCCCGCCCGCCGGGCGCTGGTGGTACGGCCCAAGGCAGCTTGGCCCAGGCGCTAGGGTGGGGTGGGGGGTGTCCGGACGCGACCATCACGGGGGGGGGGAGCTCCGGGACACGCGCTGGCGCACTCACCTGTCACCGGCGGCCGCCCAAGCTCTCCGGCGGGGCTCTACTTCGGCCCATCGTCGCGCTGTGCTTGCTCCCGCTCCTTGTGTTTCCTGGCGGCGGCAACGGCGGCGGCAGCGGCAACGCCTTCTCAGAGCCAGGCCCAACGGCTCGCGCGGCGCGGCCCCCCCGCCCCCTCCCCCCAGCCCCCGCTCACCGCCCCCTCCCACCCTCTGGCCGGAAATACCGCCTTCCCCTGCCACAAACAGGAACTGACGTACAAAAAGCGAGAAAGGGGCGCTGAGAGCGCTAGGGCGCAGGCGCAAGGCGCGGTAGCCGGGCGACACGCGCAGAGCGCCTGCGTACAGAAGGCATGTTTGGGCCGAGGTGGCCAGGGGAGATGCCTCGCGCAGGCGCCGACGGAAAGCAGAGATAGGGTCGCGCCGGCGCAGTAGGACTGTGACGCCGGCTTTCCCTAGAGGCTGCCCTCCGTGTTACTTCCCGGCAGCCTCTGGTCCTTATTTACCTATGCTTTGATCTCGTTTACTGAGCGCTGCTCTTTGCTGCGGGTTCCGAGGCTCTTCAAAGAGCCGTGGAGCAGGGGTTAGAAGGGGTTGTCTTTTCACTGCATCCCTCAGGGTTGCGCTCCGGCTCTGAAGTCATGCACACCCGGATTTGCATGTCCTTGCTGGTGACTGTGGGCAGAAGGCTTGACAGTTTTCCGTGCCTCAGTGTCCATATCGGCAACATGGAAACAATCTAGCTGCGTCATTGGGCGACTGGACGATTTTATGTAAATAGTTTTTATCAGTTAGCCTGTGATCCCAAATTATTAACCCTAATCTCTTCCTATGTTCGATTCAAATGGCTATAACTTTTTAAATGGGATATTTTGTGCTTAAAGAGGCCTTAACATTGCCCTGCAGCAAAAAAGTTTTGCACAGATCTTAAACCATGTATTTGCTGGTGTACGAGGCAGCTGTGAGACATCTGGCTCCCAGTCTCGTCTAGGTTGGGTGGGGTTTGCTAGCTTCTGAATGTGGGTTCCAGTATGCCACACAGTTTGGCAAGGGTGCTATGGTTAGTGCAGAGTTTTCTAGAAGGCTTGACTGGGAGTTGAATCTTGGATCCACCTAAATCTGAGACTCTCAGGCAAATCCTAGTCAGTAGCGGGTGAAACTAGCCCTAGTGTCCAGCTCGCTGGTGTTCGTAATTCCTGGTCTTCCCCATCACAGTGTTGAGAACTCTGCCCATTACCTCCTCAACCACGATCCTGACCATTTTAGTCTCTTACTGTCTGGCTATAGATTGGTCACCACTGCACAGAGCCCCACAGGGGAAGACTGGCTCATTGCTGTGTACCCAACACCATGCCCAACAGAGTGGGCTCTTGGGGAATATCTGTTTCAAGAATTAACCCTTTTGGGCCTCCCAAGTGGTGCAAGGGTTTAAGACGAGGCACTATGGGTATGTCTGCAGCCGCTGCAGCATAGGTTTGATCCCCAGCACGAAAGGTGCAGATGGCCCAGCAGACCTCTCCTGTCTCACCAGCTGCTCCCCTCAACAGTGTATGTCAGTAGATCTGCCTGTTCTGCACCCCACTCTGTCTCTGGTGAATCCTCTCACTCCCCACACCTCTGGCTTGTACCCCAGTTCTTGTATGCATAAATAAATAAATCTTAAAAAAAAAAGATTTAACCCTTTTGCAACGGTCTGGACACAGGATTCTGTGCCTCCCCTCTTCGCTCCTCTCCATGCTGAACAGCTCACGGGCCATCCCTCCCCACGACCCGAAGTCTTCTTGGACTAACTCCTAGGGCACCTGCTGGATTCTCTCACTGTGCATGTGCATGCGGATAAACTCAGAGCACTAGTAGGCAAAGACAATGGCTTCCAAACTATTGTAAAGACTTAGTATGCCACAAGTATCAGCGAACCCTATTTACCTTATTTTGTATGATGCATTCTGAGATTTCACTTTTCCAGTGCTGTTTGAGATCCTGCTGAACTGCTTTCCTGCCCGCCTGCCTTGCCATTTGAAAAACACTGATGATCTGGGGAGGAACCTTGTGAATGGCTTTGGAGATGGACAGGCCCTAGTTCTAATCATGCTTGTCCCATGACCTTGTCAAAATAACTTCACTTCTGGAAGCCTGTCTTTCCTGATTGTGAAACAGTAGCAATAGTTCTTATTTAGCAACTATTAAATTGTTAAAACCTCTGAGCAGGTTCTGTTCTTAACACAGTCCCACCACTGGTGTGTTTTTGTTGTGCAATCTCAGAGTTTTTTTTTTTTTAAGATTTATTTATCTATGCATACAAGAACTGGGGTGTAGGCCAGAGGTGGGGAGGGGTGTGTGTGTGAGGATTCACCAGAGACAGAGTGGGGAACAGAACAGGCAGATCTACTGAAATACACTGCTGAGGGGAGTATATGGGAGACAGGGAGGTCTGCTGTGACATGTGAGTCAGCTCCCTGGCTGGGGATTGAACTTATGTTCAGGGTCTGGTGATAGCTCAGTAGTTCTGAGACTTAACCCCTTGTGCCACCAGGGAGGCCCAATCTCACATTTTAGATGCCACAATAGGTTTAGGGGTTTGACCAAGGTCCCGGGACAACTTGGGGTGCAGGCAAGGTTGGAACATGTGCTGTCCTGATCCAAGAGGCTGGACTTTGAATTCGGTTTATGCTGGAAAATAGATAGTATTGTCTCTACTTCTGCCCCGTGTTGCTTCAGCAAACCACTTAGTTGTCATTTGGGGGCCTTTGTCTCTCAGTTTTGACATCACGGGTGACTAAGAAAATACCCTAAAACCCAGAATTATTCTTTACCCTCTAGTCTGTGGACTCCTGGCCATAACTGTAAATATGGGCTCCATGCACACTTTTCTGGGGAGAAAGGCCAGTAGCTTCTCATGCGAAGTGTGCCCCAAGATCTCTTGATTATGAAAAAAAAGATTACGAAGCCTGCTCTGAGGGACAGAGAGGGTGCCTCCTCAAAGCCCTCCTCTGTCCCCAGGGAGTCCAGTTCAACCTTCTCACAGAGATTGGGCTCCTGATGGTGACTGGACAAGCCACGTGGACCAGCCTTAAAGAACCTTAAGTGGCCTCAAGCGGGGAGGCGTTCACTCCAATCCCATGAGTTCTGGATTGTGTCCCTGGCAGTGCTGGCGTGGCCATGGGGAGAATCCCTGCCACATGGGCAGTCAAGAGATACAAGCAGAAGAATCAGAATCCCCCCTCCCTTTCTTTATCCTAAGTGAGAATTTTCAGGGGAGAAGGTCTATTGCATGGAGCAGATTCTCAAAGAAGTCTGGAACCATTAAAAAAAAGTTTTTATTTAAAAGAGTTTCCCACGTTATACAGAAATCTTGAAATAATATCTTTGATTCCCCAGCCAGCAGTTACTAAGCCCCACCCTAGATGCTACTGTGTTGGGAAGATTCTTTTAGAGTAATATGAAGTGTTTGGCAGAAGTACAGCTAAGCCTCAGGGATTCTGTAAATGTTGGTTCCAATTTCCTTTTTATAAAATGTTTCAAAAATTGTAATAGAAGACACCATGCACGTCCAACTTGTCAACATATTGGAGATTCCCATAACATTGAAATTGTCATGCTAGGCTGACACACTTCTGTGCTGACCTTGGGAGGAAGCTTTTTCTACTCTCAAGAAAATCAACTACCTTATCAATCTCCAAAAACAGATGATGGCTTCCCATTGTCTGTCTAAAGGCCCTCCCATAGCCTTCAGGGACCCATGTGAGCTGTCCTGCCTACTCTTCTGATTTCATCTTTTTTTTTTTTTTTTAAATAGAGGCATGTTTTATTTATTTATTTGTTTGTTTGTTTGTTTTGTTTATACATGCATTGGGTACAGTCAGAAGCACGGGAGAGTGAGAGAATTCACCAGAGCCAGAGCAGGGAGCAGAGCAGGCAGAAGGACCGAAGTACACTGCTGAGGGGAGCAGCGGGCGGCAGGAGAGGTCTGCGCGCCATGTGGGACCCTCCTCTGGTGGCCAGGGAGCAGCCGGGGATCGAACCGGCGCCGCAGAGGCCGCGGGCAGCTTCGCAACCCAGCGCTCAACCGCTGCGCCACCGGGGAGGCCCTTCTGATTTCATCTTGACCTTGGTTTGCCCCTGACCACCATGTTTCTTCATCTTTTCTCCACTCTTCCAAAAAGCCAAGCTCGCTCCCACCCCCAGGTTTTGGCTCTTGCTCTTCCTTTTGCCTGGATGTCTCACCCCCTTAGTCCTGATCTTTGCATAACTGGTCCTTTCTTGTCTTTTAGAGAACTCACTTCAAATTTCACCTTTTTAGGAAGCTCTTCCCCGGCCACCCTCAAATCCAGAAGAACCGTGCTCTTTTTTATCTCATTACCCTATTAAAATTCCCTACTGAGCCCTCAACACTAAAGGATATTATTTTGTAACTATCTTCCCCCAAAGCAGAATCTAAATTTGCCCTTGAGGGTAAAGACCTTGTCTCGAGCACCGCTGTATTCCCAGTCCCTAGAACAATGCCTGGCACGTAACTGGGACTTGGGGATTAGTAAGTATGTCTTGACTGAATATGGTTTTGATTAGGAAGCTTGAAGCTCTATACTGGGCTGAATTTTCTTTAAGGTCAGAACTTGTCTACTCACAAAAAGTAGACAAGTTATTATTTGTTCAAAAAACAAATAATAATCTTCTTTTTGTCTTTATTGAAGAAGTCCGTATCAGTGACAGTGCCAGCAACTATAATATATCCATGGCCTCATTAAATGTTTTTGCAGGTAGAAGTCTGTGTAAGACCTATTTTGCAGAAGTAAACACAGGCCCAGACAGGGCAAGTCTCTCACAAAACATCACACAGCTGTAATGTTGAGATGCCCAACTCTATTCCTAAATATGTCTCAGGCCGAGTCCTTATTTTTACCCAAAGCACAGGGCTTCACCTGTGTGGGTTCAGATTTGAGATACAGCAAAGTCTTGTTTTACGCTAAAGTATGTGCATTTGAAACAAAAAAGACCTAAGACATCATTTCCCACATATTAAGACAAATGGATAACATGAATATCACCTAATTTTTTTTAGGTGATATTAACTCCTCAAGAAGGGAGTTATTTCACATCTGCCAAGGTGATTTATAAACTTATGTGCACTGTTGCCACAAGGTGGCGCCACATGCGTAGCGCATCCCTGCTGGACCCCTGCTGACTTGCAGACAGCAAGTCTTGGAATCAAGTGAGCAGAACTTTCTTCAAGCCATTAAACAATCACTGTTTAACAGGAAGCTTTTACAGAATGCCTAAATGCTACATGTGATCCAGAGCTGGGTTCTGAGCCAGGAGGGAAATTGGCAGCTGTTGGACAATTGATGACACTGGAATGTGAAGTGTGAATTAGATAAGCATACTGTGTCCAGGTCAGATTTCTTGGATTTTGATCACTGTGCTGTGTTTGTGAAAAGAGAATGCTCTTGTTCTTAGGAAATGCAAACGGAAATATTCCAAAGCAAAGGGGGCATGATGTTCTTCAACTTAATTCTCAAAGGATCCAAAACCACAGCATGCAGGTAGGTATATATGTTTATGTGTGTATATATTGGGGTGGAGGAGGGAACAGGGAGACAAATGCAGCAAATAATTGTCAAATCTAGACAAAGCACACACAGGAATCCCTTGTACTGTTCTTGCTACTTTACTATAAATTTACAATTATATTAAATAGTTACTCAAAAAGCCCTTTTTGTAGCTAATAAGAGTGTCATCAAAGGCCCTTTAATGCTGGTGCTGAAAATCATCCCTGAAAATCACTGAATTCAGTGATAAGATTAAAAAGCACTGGGCCTAGCACTGTTTTAAGCCCGTCACACAAAACTCATTTTGTCCTCAATGATCATCCTGAGAGCAGGTGCTACTTTTACTCCCATCTTCCTCAAGAGGGAAGCGAAGCACAGAGAAGTTGAGGAACTTGCCCAAGATCACACAGCTGCAGAGCAAAGTTTGTCCTCAAAACACACCATCTAGGAGGTGGATATGACTCGGGTCACTTAGGAGCAAGCATTGTACTAAATAAACATGGCAGGGGAGTAAGGGGCAGTTTGGGGGGAAATGTTAATACAGTGAAGGTAGGTGTATATGCTCTGAACCCCTGTCTCATTGCAAAAGTCAGTCTTGGGTCCTGCAAGGCCTAACCAAAATAAAAGAAGCAAATCAAGTGACTGATGATTCTGATGTGACTGAACCAGTTAGCCCTTAATATTTTTTTTTTTTTAAGATTTATTTTAGGGGTCTCCTTAGTGGTGCAAGGTGTTAAGTCTCAGCACTATCAAGCTACTAGCAGCCACCACAGCACGAGTTTGATCACTGGCCAGGGAGCTACCCACATGGCGCGGCAGACCTCTCCTGTCTCGCCTGCTGCTCCTCTCAGCAGTGTATTTCAGTCAGTCTGCCTGTTCTGCTCGCCACTCTGTCTCTGGTGAATCCTCTCACCTCCTGCACCTCTGGCCTGCACCCCAGCTCTTGTATGCATAAATAAATCAATCTTAAAAAAAATCCACAAGGCCATAGTGATAAAAATAAATGATTGAATAAGTTAGTAAGAAGGGAGAAGAGACAAAGATCCCTTACAGAAGAATTCCAAATAATTTATGTCATCACTTTGCCCTTGGGAGGTGGAACATCACACACAGACACACACACACACACACACACACACAGAGCTTCGGTGTGAGCCTTGCAGTGACTTCCCTTCAAAGCATCCAACATGGAGAAACCTGACAAATAGCAGGTGGTTGGGGTCAAGTCAGGTCAACGTAAACCATGATACACAGTACAAATCTATGTGACCAAATGGTATATACTTCTGAGCACTTCCTCTGAAAAACACAACCCTCTCTAACCATGAGAAAAACATCAGACAAATCGGAATGCCGGCCATCGGAAACTTGACCAGTGTTCTTCAAAACTGTCAAGGTCATCAAAGTCTGAGCTGCCACCATAGCCAGGAAGAACCTAAGGAGACACGACATTTGTCAACATAAATGTTTGATGCCATAAATGTCAAAGTATCCCAAAGCAGCAAAGATGTTAAAACAGGAAAGCTGAGAGCAAGGGGGGTGAGGGTGAAGAGGGGGCTGGTGGACACTAACATATCAGTACTGGTTGGTTACTTGTAACAAATGTATCAGACTAACCTAAGTTGTTAGAAACTGATGGCACAGGTACAAACTGTTCTGTAGGTACTTCTCAATTTTTCTGCAAATGTAAAGCAGATGTAAAATGTTTAAATCTGTTACTAAAAACAAGGAGGAGGCATTTCCTGTCTGGTGAGGTTTACGAAGGCTGGGTTTGCGCTCACAAAGGAGGTAATAAGGTTCAGTGTAAGTAGAGGTTGGGCCTTCAAAGGCGGGTCTGAAGGAGCTGGCTCAGATCACCCAAAGCAAAGGTCAAGCTTCCTGCAGCTCCCAGGGCTCAGGCATTGAAGGAAAGGGCAGTGGGGTTGGCCTGAGCGAGGGTCCACTGGTGAACTACCATAGGTGACAGGTCCAGGGACGACCTTGTCTCAAGATCATCATCCAAACAGAATCACCCACCTGGACTGGCTCGGATGGGGCTCTGTGGCTTGGCATGACCCCATTCCCACGCCTCCCATTCCCACGCCTAAGGCATGAGGATCAAAGTCTTGCCTTTTGTGGTGTTGCCCTTGCTCTGAGTCCGTTAACTTAGCAAAGCACTTCTTTAGTACTTCCCGGCACACAGGCAGTGGTCGGCACCCCTGACCCGCTTCCCCCAGTAGCCTCCAATGAGAAAAGTCCCATTTCTTAATCCTTTTTGAAATGGGGTGCTATGTGTGGAAATAAATCACTTGATTCTGGGAGGAGATGAGTTCAGATTTGTTATTGACCCAATATCATTATTTGCCCTGATGTGCTAACATCGGAGTTCAAATTCAGCCCTGGACCAACCCTACACATAAGCTAGGTCATGCACAGCAGCACCGCCAGGGACGGCAGGAGACTGAAAGCAGCAGATTCCCTTCCAAAAGACATGATTTTGCGCCTCCCTGGTGACACAAGGGGTTAAGACACAACCTATGAAGCTATCCACAGCCACTGCAGCACGAGTTTGATCCCCAGCCAGGGAGCTACCCACATGGCACAGCAGACCTCTCCTGTCTCGCCTGCTGCTCCCCTCAGCAGTGTATTTCAGTGGATCCACCTGTTCTGTTCCCCTCTCTGTATCTGGTGAATCTCCTCACCCCCCACACCTCTGGCTTGTACCCCGGTTCTTGCATGCATAAATAAATAAATCTGTAAAAAAAAAAAAAAGACAAAAAAAAGACATGATTCTACCAATCAGGCCGTTAATATGAGTGTGTGCTGGTTTGAGTTCACCAAGCAGGTAAATTTTAGGTAGGTAACTGCGGGTGCCATGATCCTCTGCTCATATGGATGAGTGTGAGCACGCATATACACACACATTAATATACCTACGGAAGATTACTGTAAACCTTGGTAACACCAGTGGAGGGGGCGGCTAGGAAACTGGGGAGATTTCACTGCTGAACCCTTTTTATTTTATGCATTCTGGACTCTGCGTGTGAACTGTATGTGCTCAAACATGCTGAAAACAACCAGAGGAAAAATAACCCACCCCATGTGGGTCCCAGTTGTTGGGGCTAGTTTGGGGAAGCACCAGGGATGGGGGATATATTGGAGTTCTAAAGTGGCATCTGGCTCTGGTCCCTGCAGATGGTGGCAGGAGGGGCATGACTCTCCAGGCCCAGAGATGCAAACACTTGCTGGGATGAGCTGAGGAGGGCAGGGGGACAGGGACACACAGAGAATGCTAGAAACCCAAAACCACTATCCTTATCAAGATACCCATCCCGCTTTCCAAAAGGGCCATTTCAAATCTGCAGTTGAGATAACACGACATAGGGGGGAGGGGGGAGGAGTGACCAGTGATGGGGTGAGGATCTGGGTCTGCCCCTGACATCCATCCCAGGGCTGCCACCTGCCAGCTGGGTCCAGCCCTCGCATAGAGTGGCCCTGACCAGATTTACCTCCTGCTGGTAAGGTGGTGAATGAGCCAGCTGCATTTTGCTATCGCTGCGGTTCCAATTACACATCCAGAAATGACCACGGGCTCTTAAATTTAGTAACCAGAACTCTTCTCATGAACCTGACCATTGCTACAATCACCTGAGAGGTGGAACCAGAGAACGTTTTTAAAGGGTAGGAAAAAAAGGGAGTTGAAGATCAGCTGGAACCATGCCCAGGTACGAGGAACTCTTGGTGGCGCTGTCATGAAAGAAGGTCCCGGAATCTTCTGAGCATCATGACCAGCGTTTGCTGTCCTTCTGAGGTGCCACCCCAAACAGCCCCATGAGGGTCTCACCAGGAGACGGGTCCAGCCCCTCCCACCCCAGGCCTGTGCTTGGATGCAGCCTGACTGAAAATGACCAGCTCCAGAAGATGACAGGCCTGGATGGAGGTTGTACAACACGATACACTTAACACCCCTGCACAGCTCACTGGTTAACTTAAAATTGGAAATTTCGTGGTGCCTATTTTACAATAAAGAAGAAACCAATCCATGATCAGTTCTCATCTCATCCTCACCTACTCTCCCAGCGTTCCCACCCTGGGACCGTCCCTTATCATCTCCTGAGCAGAACCTGTTCTCCACATGGGCAAAGGCCCCCAATTTCGTCTCGGTCCTCTCTATGCTCTTTTCTGAACACAGGTGTCCCCTGAGCAGGCTCTGAAGCTGTCAACCACCAATCCAGAGGGCCCCAAGCCCTGCACCCACCAGCCACTCACCTCCCAGTCAACAGAGTGAAAGCCCCAAACTTCCTGCCCCACTTGCAGCTTCCCAGATGCTTAGGGCTCCCACCTAGGCGGATCAGCCATGCCCAGCCCTCCCTGCCCCAGCTCCCCTGCCTACCCATTCCCCTGCAGCAGCCACCAGGAAAAAGCCCCTCAGATCATCTCTGGTCTGCTCCAAAGCCTCCAAAACTCCCCAAGGTCTCGGAATGTATCCAAATTCCTCTCTGGGTGAGAAGCCCCCCGTGGTCTGGTTCCTGCCCACACACCCCGGCCTGTGCTGACCGCAGGCCCCTCACTGGCTGGCCTGCCCACTCGCCAGTCAGGTCAACCACTTGGCCTTCTCCACGCCCCTCGCCCCACCTCAGGGCCTTTGCCCTGGCTGCTTCCTCTGCCTGAACACTCTCTCCTCTCGAACTTCACAGAGTCACTTCTTGTCACCTCCTCCGTGAAGCCTTCTTACCCATCACTCCGCTTTTTTGGACAGTGTGATGACCACTTCACTATACTCTCCCTTCTAGAGCCCAACCAGGTGGCAGGGGCTTGTCTGCCTTGCTGAGGGTGGGGGGCCAGGCCTGGCCCAGAGGCAGGGCTATGCAGCAGTGCATATGTGAACGATCAAGTCCACAGAAACCCATCGCCTCACAAGTGGCGCCTGCCCCTTGGACAGCCGCCAAAAGGCAGAGTGGCAGTCACAGGTGACATCTAAGGAGGGCGGGCAGGGGCCAGAACCACTGCAGCTTGCTGGGGAAAGGGAGGCCTGCCGGCAGGGTGACCATGATCGTGACTCCCTTGGACTTGCGGGTTGCAGCAAAGATATGGCCCACATGTGTGCAGGGTGCTGGACACCAGAGCCAGAGCCAGCCTCTTGGTGGATCCCCACCCACACTGTGCTCTGTGTGAAAAGCAACCCCGTGACTCACCCTGAAGGAGGGCAGGGAAACGGTTTGAAAGTCACAAAAATATATTAAAACAGCGGTCTTCTGTCTCGGCGCTGGTCTCCCATCCCCGTGCCCCGGCCCACCACCTGCCACCAAATTTCAGAGAAAAAGATGCCTGGGGCAGGAAAACGGAGGTGCCCGGGAGCAGCCCAGGGTCTGGGGAGGTCCCTGCAGCCTGGGAGTGAGGGCAGCTAACAGTCTTTACAGGTTTGACGCCACCGTCGACGAGGGGGCCGCTGGGAGGCTGGAGGTACAGGAGGGTCAGGCAGGACGCAGCGGACAGTCGGGCCTTGCCACCGGGACAGAAAACAGAAGAGAAATGAACAGAGTGAAGAGAGGCAGAGACAGAGAAATTAAAGTGGGGGAGGGGAGGATCTTGGGAAGTTGGCAGGGCAAGGGATAAAGGAGCCCCTCCGGGCCACACCGACTCTGGGGCCAGGGACTGAGAAGCTGGGGTTCCAGGCAGCAGGTGCTGCTGAGAGGAGGAAGGGGAATGTGGGAGAGGAGAGGGGGCTTGGCACTTGGGAGAGGTAGAGAGTCCTGCCCAGGCCACAGTCAGAGAGGAGAGCACAGAGGATGGAGAGGAGGGACAGTCCCAGGGCGGCCAGGCTGGGCCACAGTGACCACCTCAGACTCAGTGGAACTGGGTGAGGCCCCAAGAGCTCAGGCCCAGCCTGAATGCCCGAGGGAGACGAGCAGCATCATCCAGAAGCTTGCAGAGGTGTGGGCACGCCCTCGCTGACACCCCTAATGCAGCCAGGAGCCTGGGAGGAGCCTGTGCCCCTCCCACCCTGTGGGCTAGAAGGTCCTGCGGCCCAGTCTTTTGAACACGCTCACAGTGCCCGCGTGGTCCATCTGGGCACCAAGGCTCTCACTCGAGCCACTGCCCCGGGGCCCCACCAGAGTCCTCTTAATGGTGACCTTGACTTCGGCTGAGGACTTACTCTTGGTGCTCGTGACCTGGCTGTCCTGGGCCTCAGGCACAAGGGCAGCCTTGCCCAGTCTCTGGATGATGCTGACTTTGGACAGGGACTCTGGCTTCCTCTCTAGTCCAGGACGTGGGGAAAGCGCCAGGCGCCGTAGGGTTGGGGCAGTGGCTGTAGCTGCTGAACTTGTGGCCTTGGCTTTGACAGTCAGTGCCGGCTGGGGACTGGCCTTCGCTGGACCCCGGCTGAGTTTCTTCAGGACCCCGGCGTACTGCAGGACAGAGCTGCTGCTGTCATTGTCGCTGTCCCAAGCCAGATCCTCATCCATCTCTGGAGTGGCCCCCAGGCGGCTGAAGACTCCCGTGGGCTGTGGAAATCAAGAGATAGGACAAGTGAGTCACTAAGTCACTCAACACACATTCACAGAGAGGTAAGCCTCTGCACCTGGTCTCAGGAAGCTCACAGTTGGGAGGAACACCCTAGATAATGGTGAGTGCCTAAAGGGGAAGTCCCACCCAGAGGAGCACTGGCATGGCCTGGTGTGCTGGGTGCTGCTGGGAACAAAGGGTGACTGACACAGGCCGGCCCTACCCTCACAGGACTCATAGTCCAGTGGGAAAAAGGGACGTGGATCAGAAACAACACTAATAATTCTCTAATTTTGCATCTCTAGAGAGGGGAGAGCAGGAGACAGGGAAACCCTAATGTTGAACCCAGGCCCTTGAGGGTGAATCCAGTGGCGTGAGCTAAGCTAAGTCGCCAAGGCAGCAGTGAGAATCAGACTCATGAGCCCTGGCTAGGTCCAGCTCCTCATGGAGCTCTTCAAGTCACAAGAGCTTGAGTGTTTTTATCATGCTCATAAGGTCTTAGGAAGTGAGAAAAGGCCAGGGTGGGTGAGCTTGGCGAGCACGGGGCTGAGAGGCAGAGGCGCTGCTGGAGAGCTTCACCTGAGTTAACCAAGGAGCCATGGAAACAGTGCATGCCACGCACCAGACTCGCCGCACCACGAGGCACAGCTCACTTAATCCTCGTGACCAGCCTGAGAGGTGGGTACCATACAGATGAGGAAACTGAGGCACGATGGGCTGAGGTCTTTTGCCAAGGCTATGCAGCCAGACTGTGGCAGGGCCAGAGTCACACCTGGGGGAGGGCCGCATCCAGAGCAGGGCAGGGAAGCCTCCAGAGGCCTGTGGTGGGAGGCTGGCCTGCCCTATGGGAGAGGGGCTTAGGGGTTCATGGAGACCAATTAAGAGGCTACTGCCATCCCCAGCCAGGAAGGAGAGAAAGCTGCAGGCAGACGGTGCCATCAGACTGGTGGCTGCCTGAAATGCGGTCAATGGGACTCCCCTGAGACCAGGTCTGGGACAGCACCTTTAGGGGAAGATGCTGAGGCCAGTTGGGGACACGGTGATGGAAAAGGTCTGAGGGTGGCATCTAGGAGCCTGCTAGACCCTTGGGGCTAGAAATCAGGAAAGGTCAGGGCAGCAGACAGGGATGCCGCCAGTACAAAGAAGGGAAACTGAGCCTGGAAAGATGGGTGGGATGGGTGGGGGGCATGAGGGGTGAAAGGGTGGGAAGTCAGGAACACCACGCATGGAAGACAAGCACCGAGAGCCTGAGTGGCGCCCTCATTTCCAACTCACTTTATGCCCCGTCGTCGTGTCTGCCTTGGTCTCGGCGCCGAGGCGGTCAAACACGGACGTCCTGTGGAGACCTGGGGAGGGAGAAAGATGTCAGTCAGCACCTGCGGAGGCCTCACCGGGCACTGAGTGGGCACCAGGAGGGACAACACACCCAGGCCGGCACCAGTCAGCTCTGGAACAGGCAGGTACTGGCTTGGGGGAAGCAGGTTTTGAGTTGACTTCATGTGCTTCCAGTCGGTGTCAAATGCACAAAGGATCAACTAAAATCAACACTTCAGTTCCTTGCCCCTTAGCACAAGTGCATGACTGGTGTGGAAGCACTCTTAGTCCCTACTTTCTGGGGCCATGGGCTTCTGAGAGAATCTGATGAACGGTAATGACTCCACGTCCTAAATGACAATCCAGACAGGGACGTCTGCATAGCTTCGGGGCAGAGACGGAGTCCCCGGCCTCACAGACTTGTTCTCTCCTTCCCAGCCAGAGCCTCTCCCGCAACCACACTTGGCAGGTCCTCGGTCAGGCCAGGCAGCAGTGAGCTCCAGCCCCCTCCTTGCACTTACTGGAGCGGAGGGGCTGAAGCAGCGCTGCACATCACGTGCCCATTCAATCCAGATGTGGGTTGGGCCAGAAAGAATCACCCAGAGCCTTGGAACAAACGAGGCCCCCACGATCAACCCAAGTTCCACTGAGTGAATGAGATGACGGCAGCCTGACGGGAGACGGTCCGGACTCCAAAATGAAATGGGTCAGCAAAAGCTGTTTCAACTGACGGTCTTCCAGAAGCCATCGCACCATTTTCCACGGAACCAAGAAACACTTCCCCTTTGAATGCATGAGATCACGTTGGTGTATTGTGTGGGGGTTCACAATGATTGATACAAGTCTGAAACTTGGGGAGGAAAAAAACCCAAATAGCCAGTAGTAGCAGAACGTGTACTAAATGATAATGTGAAAACACTACGGGAGCATTAGACAGTGTGTCGAGGAAGGCAGATCCACACACACTAATGTGAAAAGATCTCAATAAAGGAGCCTCCCCGGTGGCGCAGCGGTTGAGCGCTGGGTTGCGAAGCTGCCCGCGGCCTCTGCGGCGCCGGTTCCATCCCCGGCTGCTCCCCGGCCACCAGAGGAGGCTCCCACATGGCGCGCAGACCTCTCCTGCCGCCCGCTGCTCCCCTCAGCGGTGTACTTCGGTCCTTCTGCCTGCTCTGCTCCCCGCTATGGCTCTGGTGAATTCTCTCACCCTCTCGCGCTTCTGACTGTACCCAGTGCATGTATAAACAAAACAAACAAACTAACTAACAAATAAATAAAACATGCCTCTATAAAAAAAAAAAAAAAATCTCAATAAAGAAGTCACAGAACAGGGCCTCCCCGGTGGCACAGTGGTTGAGCGCTGGGTTGCGAAGCTGCCCGCAGCCTCTGCAGCGCCAGTTCAATCCCCGGCCACCAGGTGAAGGTCCCACATGGTGCACAGACCTCTCCTGCCGCCCGCTGCTCCCCTCACCATGATTCCCTCTCCCTGGCCCTTAGGGACGAGGCATGAGCTGAGGGACTGGGGAACCCCGCGATGCTAAGGATAGGTCGAGAGGACAGAGACGGTGATGTGTCCCCTCCTCTGTAGCCATCATGGCTGCCCCCTTGGTGTAAGACCCTGGACCCACCAAGCACCCAAGGAACCGAGCCTGCCCGAGGCACTAGGCAGGGAAAAGGGGCGTGCAGGGTGTGCCCCCATGACGCAGGTACCTTTGGCCGCCTGCTGCTGCTCCAGGATCTTGCGGGTCCGGGGGGTGGTGCCTTTGGGCATGTTGATGATATATTTCCCTTCCATCTCAGCAGTGACCCGGCGCCGCTTGGCGGGGACAGCCAGGCTCTCCTCCTCCCGGCGGGCGAGGGCTGCTAGAGGGAGGAGGCGAGGGTGAGCACTTTCTGGGATGGCCCATTCTCCGGGGGGCTGCACGCCCAGCAAAGTGCACACCTGTGCTCCTCTATTTCCATGCACTCCCTTGACTGGAACCCCGTATCTTCCCAATCACCCCATCCCCACTGACTCTAAACCACTGAGAAACAGGCGGGATGGGGCACAGAAGGTGCTCAGAAACCCCAGGCAGCAGCTGGTCTCCCCCAGGCAGGCTCACCATCCTGCCCTGCTGGACCCCCTCTGACATGGGCCATGGAGGTTCCAGAGCTCCTGGCAGGCAGGGTTTCAGGGGTGTGCTCACTTTTTAAAAACCGATCTTGGGCCTCCTCTGGTGGCACAGCAGTTGAGCGCTAGACTGCGAAGCTGCCCGCAGCCTCTGCAGCGCCGGTTCAATCCCTGGCCACCCGCGAGGGTCCCACATGGTGCAGCAGACCTCTCCTGCCTCGCCCCCTGCTCCTCTCAGCAGTGTATTTCGTCAGTCTGCCTGTTCTGTTCCCCGCTCTGGCTCTGGTGAATTCTCTCACCCTCCCGCACATCTGACTGTACCCAGTGCTTGTATAAATAAATAAATAAATCTTTAAAAAAAAAAAAAACCCAAAACTGATCAAGCTGTATACTTAGAATTTTTGTGCATGGTGATTAAGTAAATTCTACCTCAGTTTTCTAAAAAAGAATCTACTGTACTGTGTCAAGCAGTAAGAAAGCAGTCTCTCCCAGCTCACTCCCTTTTAAAGTACTTGTAGGAACTAATTTTAACTTTCTTGTTTGTGGGTGACAAGTCAAAAGGTGACAAACAAACACAGCATAAAAGGCGTGCCTGCCATCGAAGCCACTGGGCGCCAGGGGCCTTGTGTCAGAATGGTGAAGCCCCTCCCGAGGCATGTTTCCAAGATCACTGTTGTGGGGATGATTCCAACCAAGGCAGGAGAGCACAGTGGACAGAAGGGCTTAGAGCCTGAAGGCCAAAGTCCCAGTCTCAACGTTGAAGCTAAGGCCTAGAGGCCAGCCATGGGGAAGAGTGCTTTGAAAGAAGGGCACAAAGGGTCAAGACCCCGTGCTGGGAAGGAGGCTGGAGGGGAGCTGAGCTGTAAGAAAGGAGAAGATGCCCAAACAAATCCCAGGCAGGGCCCTGTCAAGTCACATGGGAAGACCGGATTTCACTACCACAACAATGGGAAGTCCTGGAGAGTCACAGAAGGGTCTGAGGGGATCAGATTAAAGGTTTTAAAGTCTCCCTACGCTGCTACAAAGGTAGTTTCTTTACCTCTGACCCCAGGCAGCAAGCACAGGGCCCAGCACCAGTGCAGGGCTCAGCAACAATCTGTTAAAAAAAGACTGAGGGGCCTCCCTGGTGGCGCAAAGGTTAAGCACCGCACTATGAAGCAATCCGCAGCCTCTGCAGCAAGAGTTCGATCCCCGGCTGGCCAGGGAGCAACACACATGGCAAAGCAGACCTCTCCTGTCTCACCCGCTGCTCCCTTCAACAGTGTGTTTCAGTCAATCTGCCTGTTCTGCTCCCCACTCTGTCTCTGGTGAATCCTCTCACCCTCCTGCATCTCTGGCCTGTACCCCAGCTCTAGTGTGCATAAATAAATAAATTGTTTTTAATAAATAAATACATAAATAAATAAAAAAGACTGAACCGGGCCTCCCTGGTGGTGCAAGGGGTTAAGCACCACACTATGAAGCAATCCACAGCCTCTGCAATATGAGTTCGATCCCCAGCCAGCCAGGAAGCAACCCACATGGCACAGCAAACCTCCCCTGTCTCGCCCGCTGCTCCCCTCAGCAGTGTATTTCAGTCAGTCTGCCTGTTCTGTCCCCACTCTGTCTCTGGTGAGTCCTCTCACCCCCTGCATCTCTGGCCTGTAACCCAGCTCTGGTAGGCATAAATAAATCAATCTTTGAGGAAAAAAAAAAAGACTGAGCCACCGGGAGTCAACAACACTGCAGCATGCACTTAAAACTCTGCTAAGAGGGTAGCTCTCATGTCAAGTGTTCTTACCACAACAAAGTAAAACAGAGACTGAACCAAGCACAAACTGAGAACCGCAGGGCTCAAGTGCTTCCCACTGTCCCACGAGGGCCCACTGGCCCTGCCCTACAGATGTGGAAAGATGCCTGCATGCAGGATGTGCTTGGCACTTTGGACATCTTGGGGCCACGGGACCATGACCCCCAAATACCGTCTGCCAACCTACATTCACCTTCACTGCCTCCCACCTCCTGCCTGGGTCCCTCACCGGCAGCCTTGGCGCTCTTTGCTGCCATCTTGTTGGACACGGTGACGGATATCTTGGAGGTGCTGGTATCCGGCCGCCTTGGGGGAGTCCCGGGTGGGGAGTCGCGGTTCAGGCTGTTGGCGATCATTCGGGAAGCAGCTGCCAGGAGGAAATGGGGGAGAGTCCAGTTGGATGGGGCCAGGACGGAGTCCAGTTGGATGGGGCAAGCCTCAGGATGGAACAGGCAAGGCGAAATCACAGTTGCCCTGGGCTGCACCATCCTCATGTGGGGATGCTCGGAGTGGAGTAGGGTCCCTGCCCTGGGGACCTTTCCTGAGGTCCCGGACTATACCAGTTCCTCTCACACCTCTCCCAGCAGTTACCAGTCCTGTGCCAAGCTCGTCCAGCCCCTCCAGCTCCACCTCAGCCAAGCTGGTCTCCAGCATCTTCCTCACACCTCCCCTCAGGGCACCTGCTGCTCTAACTGGGTGCAGTTCCCAAGTACCAAAGGGCTCCCTCTGTCTCTTCATTCAGGTCGCCTCTCATATGGCAACTCCCCAGAGAAAACTTCCCTGACCACCCCATCAAAAACAGCACTCAATGGGCCTCCCTGGTGGCACAAGGGTTAAGACGCAACCTATAAAGCAATCCACAGCCACTGCAGCATGAGTTCGATCCCTGCCAGCCAGGGAGCAGCCCACATGGTGCAGCAGACCTCTCCTGACTCGCCCCGCTGCTCCCCTCAGCAGTGTACTTTGGTCACTCTGCCTGTTCTGTTCCCGACTCTGTCTCTGGTGAATCCTCTCACCAACCCCCACACCTCTGGCCATATCCCAGCTCTTGTATGCATAAATAAATAAACCTTTAGGAAAAAAAACAGCACTCCATCAAACTCTACCCTCCTTCCCTATACTCACCTCCTTTTTCTTCACAGCCTCTCAGCTTGATACTGAATTACATTTACTGGTGGATGTTCCCACAGCATTAAAGCTCAAGGGGGAGACACTGTCTATTCACTGTGCACCCCAGTGCCCACAAGGATTTCTGGTACCTCACAGATCCCTAATAAACAGCTACTGGAAAGACGAACCCAATCACCCAACCTCCGAACTAGACAGGTTCTATTGGAAACCATTTTTACAGACCAGGGAAACTGGGCGCCACGGAGGGGTCTGGTTGCAGCTGGGCTGGGGCAAGGGGGTGGTGACAGTCCTGGGCAGCCCCTGTCTCCTTGGAGCAGAGGAGGGATGTCCTAGGGTGCACAGTGGGGAGCACAGCACACAGGCCAGAGGGCCACTCCGCTGAGAAAATGCATGTGGGTTCGCTCCTGCAGGCAGGGGCTTCGGTGTTGTTGATCTATATCAAACAGGGCGTCTCGACACAGAAACATGTAAGGTTCTCTATCAATCTGTTGATGAAAATGTGAGCAGAGGTTTTCAGGAAGAAGCTAACTTAGGGTTGGCAGGGACTTGCGAGAAAGAACTACCACAAGTGAAAATTGAATTTGCATATAGTTTTCCCTAAATGTAGCCTCAGATGACTTTGCTTCCACCTCTGTAATCTGCAGCCATGCCCCTCATTTACTGTTGGGGTATAGGAACAAAGAAGAGGAGGTCTGAATACAGACTCACCACAGGAGGTGCCTCGACGAACCTCGCCTGGGAGGGGGCTGGGGCTGCAGGGCACCGACTCAGTGGCAGCTTTGCACATGTCCTGTAAAAAACAGGGGCCTCTGGGTTACCACGTGAACAGGGACATAGGCAGGGGATGAGGGGACCCAAACACCTAAATCATACTGGGGAGATCAGAGCCAGGGCTGCTAGAGAAAAGATTTCAGAACCTATCCCTTCTAAACACGAGAAAGCAGCAGATAAACCCAAACTGAGGAACATTCTACAAAGTACTTGTCAAGGTCATCAGGAACCTGGGAGGACTATGAAATCCAAAGAGACTAAGGAGACGTGATAAAAAAAAGCAACATGGGGCCTCCCTGGTAGCGCAGGCGGTTGAGCGTCACTGTCAAACGTGAAACTGTCTGCAGTTTCTGTAGTGCGAGAATTCCACATAGTGCGGCAGACCTCACCTATCTCGCCCGCTGCTCCCCTCAGCAGTGTGTTCCAGTCAGCCTGCCTGTTCTGTTCCCTGCTCTGTCTCTGGTGAATCCTCTCACCCTCCCGCGCATCCGGCCTGTACCCCGGTTCTTGTATAAAAATTAAAAAAAAAAAAAAAAAAAAGAATATATGTGACTTATTTAAATAAAATAAATGCAACATGGATCCCAGGACAGAAAAAGGACATTAGTGGAAAAACTGATCAAATCAAGTAGCTTAGTTTACAACAGCGTCCTAAAGTTCATTTCTTAATTTTGAAGAGGTTGCCATCAGGGGGAGCCGGATGAGAGAGAAAGTCTCTGCACTACTGTTGAGGTCCTCCAGTAACCCGTAACTGTTCTCCAATTTACAGGTTTAAAGAAAACGTTTTGCTCAGTGACTTCTCTGTGAGAGAGCCCTCCTGTCCCGGGGGCCAGACAGAGGGAGACCTGGCCCTGGGAAGGAGAAAGCCACTAAAAATGACAAGGAGGACCCAGCAGCCACCACTTGGTCAAGTGGAGCGTCTGAGAGCACAGTCTGCAAGTTGCCTTCTCGGGTAACTGGGATGGGGAGGAAATGCGCTTAACGCTGCCCTTACCCGGGCAACTTTATAACGTGTAATAAGCTAACGTGTGAAGGACAGACACAAGGCCTTGTGTTTGTGACAAGTGCTTGCTGAGGGTTAGCTGTGCCCACAGGACAGGCATTCACTCCAGGCCTGGCGCTCGTGCCACACACGCTCTCAGACAGCAGGCTGCAGCTGCCCTCCATGGTGGGGGTGTGGAAAGCCTGGTTCAGTGAGACTCAGGGAGGTGAAATCACCAGCGTAAAAAAAAGCAAAAAGACCAAGAATAGAAGTCACCACCTGGGTCCCACAGGCGAGCTCCTGTCCTGGGGATGGACAAGAGTCCTCGTAAAGCTATCACCAGGAGGTAAGAACTAGTAATAATAATCACGCTGAGGGCCTCCCTGGTGGCGCAGGGGTTAAGACGCAACCCATGAAGAAATTCGCAGCCACTGCAGCACAAGTTTGATTCCTGGCCGGCCAGGAAGAAACCCACATGGTGGGACTGATCTCTCCTGTCTCACCCGCTGCTCCCCTCAGCAGTGTACTTCGGTCCGTCTGCATGTTCTATTCCCCACTCTGTCTTGGGTGAATCCTCTCACCACCCCGTGCATCTCTGGCCTGTACCCCAATTCTTGCATAAAAATAAATAAATCTTAAAAAAAAATAAAATCACGCTGAGTGCCTTCCTTGAGGTCCAACTGGTGACACTGCACTAGGACGTTATATGACTTAATATACAACCACCCTGCAAAGTAGGTGTGCCTATCTACAGCTGCAGAAAGGCTCAGAGAGGTCAGACAATATGCCCAACGGCACACAGCACAAGGAGGTCTCAGCCTCAGCATCCAGATCTGCCCATCTTTGCTTAAAAATTTCCTATTGGCTCTGCCACTCTTCACCTCACTCCCGGCCCCCAAGTCCCGGGGCAGAGGGGCTGGGCATTTGTACCCACCTGGCGGTGTACCACCTTGGCATGCTTGAGGATGGCAATGATGTCACCGACCACAGTCACCCCTAGCTCATTCATGATCTCCTTGTTGAGGTCCAAGAGCATGCTCTTCTGGATTCTACGGGGGGGGGGGGGGGAGGGAGGGGGTTGGCGGTGAGGCCACAGTGGACCATGGTGAGCGGCCTTGCCCCCAGCCACCTCTCCCCACCCTGACCCTCAGCCGCCTCACCTGTTATCTACAAACATCACGGCGTAATTGACAGCAGGTCCTGGAGGAATGCCGGCTTCCTTAAAAAACTGGATCCACTCGGAAGTGGCTGGGATGTGGACAGAGCTTATTATTCTCTTTACTTTCTTTAGTGAACAGCAGCAGCAAAACCACAATATGAAACACAAACCACTCAGCAGGCCCCTAATGAGTGTTCCGTGGGGACGATGAGCTAAGCCCTCCCCATAACTCTGTGAGTTAAACAGCATCAAGACACCCCTCCTCCCCCCCACTGACCTCCCCGGTGGTGCAGCAGGTTAAGTGCAGTTCTGTGAAGCTGTCCTCAGCCTCTGCAGCGCCGGTTCGATTCCCGGCTGGCCAGGGAGATTTCCACATGGCGCGGCAGACCTCTCCTGTCTCACCCGCTGTTCCCCTCAGCAGTATACTTTGTTCTGGATTCTACGTTCTGCCTGTTCTGCTCTCTGCTCTATGTCTGGTGAATTCTCTCACCCTCCCGCACCTCTGGCCTGTACCCCAGTGCTAGTATGAATAAATAAATCTTAAAAAAAAAAAAAAAATAGGACACCCCCCCACTCTTTGCCGAGGAGGTGGAGAGAGGCTGTGCTGCTCTTCTCCCAACAACTCTGTCCTGCCCTGGAGCGTGACGTGCAGCATCCCTTCCTCATGCTTGGCCAATGACTGATTCTAGGGAGCTGGGACTCTGGGTTTTCTGCCCGGGTTCCCATCAGTGGACCCAGGTTGAGAGGTTGACAGGATCCGTAGGTGGACAGAAGCAGGGTCACAGAGCTGGCCCCTGAGCATTAGTAAGGCCCCTCCTTGCCCCAGGAGCAGCCCTGGAGAGAAACGTGGAGCTGGCGAGCACAAACTCAGAGCGAGTTCAAATCCTGACTCCACCATTCCTGGCTGAGGATATGGGGCAAGTCAAGGCCCTGAGTTTCAGTGTGCTCATTTGTAAATTTGGGATAATAGGTTCAAGAAGCATTTACTAAGCAGGAGGCCTAGGCCCAGTCCTATCCTAGGCACAAGGGATTTCACTGGGCGCAAGACAAAGCCCCTTCTCTCGTGGAGCTGACGTTCCTGTGATCATAGCGCCCACCTCCTCTGGTCACTGCTCAGCCTCACAAGAAGGTCCACACGAACAGCTTTAAAAGGGGCCTGGTCCAGGAGTCACCCTCAACCCACTGCAGTAATGACAGTGATGATGCTGCCGCCACTCCTACACATGATTCCAAAGCCAAGACAAATGAGCCTCCCTGGTGGCATAGGGCTTACATCTCAGCACTATCACTGCAATGGCCTCAGTTCCATCCCCGGCCAGGGAGCTGACCCACTGGCGCAGCAGACCTCTTCCGTCTTGCCCGCTGCTCCCCTCAGCAGTGTATTTCAGTAGATCCACCTGTTCTGCTCCCCACTCTGTCTCTGGTGAATCCTCTCACTGCCTGCATCTCTGGCCTACATCCCAGTTCTTCTGCACAAAATAAATAAATAAAAATCTCAAAGCCAAGCCCAAGATGGTAGTTTATTTCATCTGGAGGAGGGAGGGGTTTGTGATGGGATGGAGGGGCTGGCGATATTCTATTTCTTCACCCGGATGGTTAGAGGGAGTCTGCTTAAAAGCCTCTTTTATGGGACCAGAATGTGTCCCCACAAATGTACACACAAGTAGCTAGATTTTTGTAAACACACCCATGCAGCCAGCGCCCAGATCAAGACCCAAGGAATTTCCACAATGCCAAAAGCCCCTCCTATTCCCTTACTGGCCACTAATTCCTGTCCCCAGGAAAAGCCTTCCCGGTCCAACAGCACAGATAAGCTTTGCCTGTTTCTGCATTTCATTGATGTGGAAATCAAAGACATTCCATTCCAGATATCTGTTTTTCAATTGCTCATCCCCACACAAATACTTAAATGTACTTTTCTATATGTATAATAAATCTCAAAAAATAATTTAAAGCTGCCAGCTATCTCTGTGTTCTGGCAATCACAAAATAATGAGCTTCAGAGCACCAAGAGAAATGTGAGCAAGCCGTTAACATTTGCTAAGAACTATGCCCAAAAATTTATAGGCAATAATCGCCTTAATTCTTACATTCCAGGGTCTAATGACTGTTAACATCCCCATTTTATAGGTGAGAAAACCAAGGCTCTGGGAGGTCTGCGGGCCTTCACCTTCCTGGGTCTCTACAGCAAGACTGCGCTGTCAGGAGGCCAAGATACAGACAGGAGGCAGCAGGCCCTGCCCCCGCGTTCCCCAGCGCACAGCTGTTCCCGTCAGTGACCCGGCCTTCCCTCCCCCAGCCTGCCTCCCCCAACCAAGGCCATACCTCAGAAAGGGCAGTAGGGACAGGGAACCCCAGAGAGAAGGCCACAGACTCACCCATCGTCACTGAGACCATTGTCTCCCTTCCCCTGATGCTGCTCCCTGGATCCTGGAAGATAGAACGAGGGTAGAGGGCCCCTTTGTTGCCACCGGCCATGAGTGTATGTCCCTCTCCCGCTGCCCGTCTGTCTGCCTGCCAGAGGAGTTCCTGGGCTGGGGGCTCATAGCCCAGGAATAGCCTGGAGCAGCTGGCAGGAAGTCCGCAAGGGACAGGGCTGCTGCCACACTGTCATTTCTGCCTGGGACAATGCCCAGGACGGCAAATGTCGACAGCTCCATTCCCGCACACCTCAAAAGGTCTGGCTGCAACAGGAGAGGGACCAAAAAAAAAAAAAAAAAAAGACACTCCCAGCGCAAGACTTTAACCATAAATACCCATTTATTCATCCATTTGAAATTGATTTACAGAGAATGAACTATGTGTGGGCACTGACTGAGGAACTAGGATACGGAGATGAATAAAAACACAGAGATTGGCATCTCAGTGGGGACGGAGAGACAGAGTAAACAAACAAAACGGCAAGATAATATGTCAGAAGGCCTTCAGTGTCACAGAGAAAGCATGGCCTGGGAAGGGGGCGCTGCAATTCTAAAAAGGGGGATCAGGGAAGATCCCTCTTAAATGACATTTGGGGGCCCGAAAGAGGTGGAGGAGCGAGCCATGCAGTCTTATAGAGGAGGCTGCTTCCAGGAGAAGGCCCGGCCAGCCCAGTGCCTGAGTCAGCAGCTCCTCCGGCGTGTCTGAGGGGTGGCGAGGGGCCGGCGGAGCCAACAGTGGAGTGAGCAAGGAGGAGGATGAGAGGAGCTGAGGGCAGAGAGGTGAGGCACCAAGCCATAGGGTGCTCAGAGAAGAAATGGAAAAGCAACCTTCACTTAGATGAGCAGATGTTAGAGAGGTGTTAAAAACATATTAGCCCCCATGGAGACTTTCTCCTGGACATTATCAGCAGTCTTGAAAGGGAACTGAAGGAAGTAACTTTCTCACCCGATGACTCAGTGCTGTCTGTCTCCGGGTCAATTGTCCCACACGGCCCGGCCTGAACTTCCCCCTCAGCCTTCTCTCGCGTGAACCAGTCGTCTCCGCCGTGCCCTCTGCCTTCTTTCATCACCCTGCTCTCCTTCCCACCCAAACCCTCTGTTCTGATGCTTCTCCCCAGCCCTCCTCCGCCTCGTCTCCAGGTGCAGAAGGCCTCCTGTGCAGCGCCTCTCTGTCCCCCATCACACACAACCTGTACCTCCCCATCCCCCGACTTGATAGTACAGTAGTACAGAGTCAAGGCTTCAGAAGTCAACTGCAGGGCTCAAGTCTGATTTTACAACTTACTTGCTGTGTGGCTTTGGCAAGTTACTTCACCAGTCGGGCCTCAGTGTCCCCATCTGTAAATGGGGATAGTACATAACTTACCTTAGAGGACTGCCCCAGGGCTGAATGAATTCTAGGTGCATAGCACTTGAGACAGCACCTGGTGCACACTGAGTCCTCTACAAGTCTGGGCTATTTTTATCCTGCCCAGCCTTCCCTCTAACACCCTTGCCTCCCTGTTTCCACACAAAATGTCACCTGTACCTGGAATGCTGAACTGCTCCCAATGCCTGCTTAGCTCTGCTCCATTCTACTGGTTCCACCTGCTTTGGGAAGCTCTCCCCCAATCCCTGCCTCTTGCCTTGGCTAGGATCATCCTGCCTTCTCTGGGTCCCACTGCTTCCCTCATTGATGAACAAGATCACAGATATCACTCTTCCCTGGCTCTGCCTCCCCAAGATCCACGTTCCCTTCTGATTTTACCCCTAGATAAAAACACAAACAGCAACTCTCACAGAGCAGGGCCTGGAAAGGCTTTAGTAAGTTAGAACTTCAGCACCTCGCATACCAGGCACTAGCTAGGCAGCAGGACCAGAGCCAGGCCAACATGCTCACACCTCACAACCTCCCCCAGAGTTAGGACTATTATTAGCCCCATTTTAATCAACAAAATAACTGACCTGTCAAGGTACAATCATTTGCCAAATGCCACATCTAGCAAGTTGTTTTACTGGGATTTAAGAACAAGTTCTCCCTGATTCCAAACGCCCATGCACTAGCTCCTGTTGAATGCTTACAAGCCAGGCACTGAGTATGTGTGTGTCTAGCTCACACTAGAGACTCCTCATGAGGATGGGGGGGAGGGAGAAGAGCAGGAGGAATATAAATGATTCCCATGTTACAGATCAGAGTGGCAAGTCCAAGGTCACATAGCACGTAACTGTAGGGCCAAAACTTGAACCCAAGGCTGTCCCAGGGCTGTGATTAACTCCAGTTGAAGCATTACCACAAGCCAGGTGCTATGGTCAGCTGATGCTTACCAGGAGCCTTTAAGAAGTCTATAAGTGATGATATCCTCCCACTGTGGCTGCAGAAGTCTCTCCACCATTAAAAGTCCATCTCCAGCGTAGACTTTCTGAGTGGTAAGAAGTATAACATTAATAACAGGAAAACAACAGCTCCCAAAACTCAAGTAATGACCACGCATCAGACTCCCGTTATATCCAGTCTCTTAAAGGCTTGGATCCAAATCCCAAGTGTGCCACATTCTAATCCTCACTCTGGGGTGAGCGGCTTAACCTGTCTGGATCTCACGTTCCTCAATTATAAAATGAAAAAGAGTTCTTATTTAACCCTTTTAAAGTGGTTAAAGGAATAAAATGATTTCATTAATCCCAAGCCCTAATAGCAATGCTTGGAAAGTGTTAAGTGCTAAGTGCATTAAATGAAAGAAATCTGCAGTGAACTAAGGTAAGGGGAGGTCAGTCACTGACTGTCATATGCAAAGTGTGAACAGGGAACAGAGTGTAAGATAACCTGATGGGGTCCATGGAATCTGGCAAGGAGGAACCCGGCTGCACAGTTATTCTCTCCTGAACTGGTGTTCTTTCTGTTACGGTCTACAACATTTAATGAACTGTTCTGCTACCATTACATTTCAGGTTGTTTTCCTCCTTCTCATGGTCAGCAAATGCTAAGTTCTTTATCAAGTTACCAACACAAAACTCTCCTTGTTAAAGCCACTGATTAAAGGAAAATGTACCAGCAGTCTCAAAGAAAAAGAAAAATCTAACGCTACAGGATTCAGAGACATTGGCAAAAAAGTGGCAGGACGCTGATTTGCCCAACCCCAGATTCCAAGTTTTTCCTATTGCTGTCCTTGAGTTTCCTCCCTCGCTCTAACTCTTTGGGATGCCCAACTATGCCAGTGACTCTCAGGGTCACTATTATTATAGTCCCCAACTCTTGAGCTCCTACTGAATAGTGTGCCAGGCCCTGTGCTAAGGGCTTGACAGGAACGTTTCATCAGCATCCTCACATGGACTCCGTGATACTGGGACTAACAGCCCTCATTGTATCAACGAGGAAAATGAAGTTCAGAGAGGTGAAGGCACAAGCCCACTGCCACACAGCGGGAACTTGAAATCTGTCAGCCTCCAAGTCCCACAATCTTTCACTCTCTCACATGCAGATCTTCCACGCCAAGCGCAAACTCCATCACCCATAACAACAGTATAGCAATGAAGCACTGGTGCGAAGGGCCGAGCTAGGGTCTCCGGCAGGCACGCGCCGTCTTCTCACTCCGACCCCCAAGGAGGATGCTAGACTCGGATTCTGATGCCCCATTCTACAGGGGAGGAAACTAAGGTTCAGAGAAAGAAGCAGCTCGTCCCGGGCGCGCAGAGGTGCCGGGACTGTGACTCCGGAACCCCGGACGCCCTCCAACCCCCACGGCATCCGGCCCCGTCCCACCAGCCCCGGCCCGCGCCTCACCTGGCCCCTCGGCCCGCGCCCACTCGCGCAGCCCGCCCGCCCTGCCGGCGGCGCCAACTGTCAGACCCTCCTCCCTCGCCGGGGGCCCGCCCCGGAAGTACCGCCCTCGCCACCGGAAGCAGGACCCCCCGCCCGCGGCCGCTCTAGTCCGCGGGTCCACCACCACCGAGAGGGAGGCCGCCACCGTCACGTGACCCCCACCGCTCCCAGGCTCTTCCCTCCTCCCGCGCTAGCGAGGGGCGCGGCCAATGAGGGAGGCGCGTGCCGGCCCCGCCGCCCGCAGTTCCGCCCGAGTGCGCCGGCGCGGGGCTGGGTCCCGGAGCGGGAGCCGTCAGGTGCAGGTACTGTGCGATCTGGGGGTGCGGCGCCCCCGCGGCCGTGTTTGTGTGGTCCTTCCGCCTGTAATGCATATCTCCCCTCGTGTCGTCCTCGGTCCCTTTGTGTCGCCAGCCCTCGTATGTCGCATCACACTCAACTAGTCATCGTCCTCCTTGTGTCGCCATCAACCCCCTTCGCTCGCTTTCCTTCTCGTCAAGCTCCCATTACCACCCTGTGTCGCTGTCACACACACACACACACACACCCCACTTTAAGTAGCCATTGTCTTCTTAGCTTCCTGCGCGCACCTCTTGTTGCCATTTCTCCTTTATGAAATCCTCCTATCTCATAAGTCGTCATCATACCCCGTGCCGCCTTCACACCTTCTGTCACCGGCTCCTTACCTGAAGCCCAGGCTTCCCGTGTCATCCTGCCTCCCTGACACCTTTGCTCCTGTGACAGTCACCACCCATGCCTCATTGTAGTGTTCCCCAGGGAGACACCCATCTTCCCTCCCTGTCTCCATCATTAACCTGTGTCACCTCTCACATAATGGCCACCGTATGGGGTGCTAGAGCCCGTTATCTGGAGTGTGCCAGAATCCTGGCTACACCACTGAACCTCTGGGCAACCTTGACCGGCTCATCACACCTCTACAACCTCAGCATCCTGTCCATCAAATGCACGCAAGGACACCTTGTGTGATTGTGAGGATTCTGACAGTTTTTTTTTTAAGATTTATTAATTTATGCACACAAGAGCTGGGGTACAGGCCAGAGATGTGGGGGGGGAATGATACACCAGAGAGAGTGGGGAACAGAACAGGCAGACTGACTGAAATACACTGCTGCCCTGGAGCAGTGGGTGAGTCAGGAGAGGCCTGCTGTGCCATGTGGGTAGCTCCCTGGCCGGCTGGGGATCAAACTCATGCTGCAGAGGCCGCGAATTGCTTCATAGTGTGGTGCTTAACCCTTTGCACTACCACAGAGGCCCTTCTGCCAGTTTTTTTTCTTCTGCTATGCCCAGCTTGACAGGGTAGTTGGGAGGATGTTATAATTAACCATGTCACTGTCACCCTCATCCACACTCACCCCCCCCAACAGCCCTCACCATGAATCATACTCATCATTGATACCTTCTATCATAGCAACCATCCCTTGTCACTCCCTCCTTATTGTCCTCACCTCTACCACATCACTACACCCGAGGGGATGGTCCATCAACATCATAAACCTTGCACATGGAAATACTTAATCCCTCTCTTTTTCCCTGGTTAAATTAGGTGATTCCCCATCCTCTGTGGGGAGATCATTTAGCCAAGGTACAGAGAGATGAAGTATTCAAGTATGTGGCTAATGTTGCCAAATGCTGTAGCACCCCATACTCCATGGGAGTTGAGTGGGGGCATCTTAGGGAGGGGGGAGATTCAAAGTAATTTAGACTTCCCTTGACTTCTAGAATGGGGGTAGAGAGAGGATGAAGCAGGTCCCACCCACATTTCAGTCATCCCTCAGCAACACTGAATCCCCAAGTGAAAAGGTAAGTGTCTTACTAGCCTGTCTTAGGGAGACAGTGTAGGACAGTAGTTAGCAACATGCCCCCACGGCATGTATTATTTAAATAGCTGTGTGACTTTGGGCAGGTGACTTAACAACCCTGTGCCTCAGTTGCTGCACCTGTCACATGGGAATGAAAAGGGAAGTTATTCACTCAACAAATAGTTATAAAGCGCTTTCTACATGCCCAGCACTGTGCTAGATATTGGGGCCACATCAGTGAAAAAACAGACAAAGATCCCTGGCCTCGTGGAGTTTACATTCTATCGGGGTAACAGAGAATAAACCAACAGGTAAGTAGATTATATGATGTGTCCAAAAGGGGGTGAGGAATACATGCTAAAGGTTGTAATTTTAAATAAGGTAGTCAGGGAAGGTTTACTGAATAGGTTATACTTGAACCAAGTTAAACTTAGAGGAGACTTAGGGAGAGTGATATGGCTGTCTTGGAGAAGAGCATTCTAGGCAAAGAGAACAATATGTGCAAAGGCCTTGAGGTAGGAGTGTGCATGGAATATGGCAAGGAAGAATGGCAAGGAAGCCAGTAAGGAAGGAGAGGGGTGAGGGATGAGGTCAAGGGGTCATGAACACAGATCATCAGGGGGTCACATGAGCTGTGGAGAAGATTTTGGCTTTAGCCAGAGCGAGGTAGTATCCGCGGCAAGATTGGGAGGAAAGGAGGCATTTGAGCTGATCTGATGTGATATGACATGACCCTGTGACAACTCCAGGACTTGTACCCAAGATGGATTGGCAACAGCAACCAAGAAGAGTCCTCATCTTAATGCTGCACTCACATATCCTTTGTATCTGGAGAAAACTTCAAATGTCCCTTTCAGAAATGGGGAGCAGAAGGGGGGAGGAGCTGTAGGTAGAATTTTTGAGAGGCCACAGCCTCTGGGTTCAGCAGGTGTCATGGCAGGAGGGAGGACATCTACAAGTGTACAAATGCTAAGCAACAAAGCAGCAGTTGTCTACACCCGGGACCTGGAGGCAGCTGGAATTCAGATCCTGTCTCCACGATTGCCTTGCGGTGTCCCTTTGTGCCAAGGACTTACCCTCTCTGGTCTTTACTTCCCTTATCTGTTAAGTAGGAGTGGGGGGTGGGGGGAAAGACAAGTTCTTCGAGCCCTGGCTGGGGCAATACGCAGAAGAAACCTGCCCACATCCTGCCCTTGTACAGGCTCAGGCCTCCCTCAGTGTACCAAGGAAAAGACATTAGGCCTTTGGTTCAACAGGTCGTGGTTTGAAAGAGAGCTGAGCTCTGAGTTCCGAATCCCAGCTGACAAACCCATACCAGGGAAGCTGAGCCCTGCCATGTCATTTGAAAAAACAGGGACAATCACACTTCTTTGTCCCAGTCCTGCTGTGTTTTATTGAATGGAGCCATCAATCCTTTTCAGCTGTGATGTCACCATCTCCCGCCCCTGTTTTATTGTTTTTCTCCAAGCACATTCTATTACTCACTTACTTATTAACACGCGCGTGCACACACACAACATCTTTACTAGGGTTTGGTGTTGTTTGTTTTTCTGTTTTGTGCTGTATCCCCTGTTCTAGACATGGCTTATCAGTGAATGGTTGCTGAATACATAGTAGAAGGAGCAGATGAATGGACCGGCCGGACACTGGGCACCCACTGTGTGCTGTCCCTGTGCTGGGTGGTACTGGGGACATGGTAGTAACTGAGACAGGTCCTGCCTTCCTGGGTCTCCCAATCCAGTGGAGAGACAGACCCATCACCAAGCCAGGATGGAGAAGTACAGACAGGGATCAAGGCTGCGATAGAAAAGCCCAGTGCTCCTGGGAGGCTGCCTGGAGGAAGTGGTATCTAAGCTCATAGTAATGAGCAGCCAAGAGAGAAAAAAAAGATATGCTAAGCAGGAGGAGTAGCTGTGGGAAGGTTGGGTGGTGAAAGTGGGGTTTCGGTGCAAGGAAATGAAAGACAGTAAATACGACTGGGGCATAAAAGATGGGGAGAGAGTAAGATAAAGAAGTTATTAGGGGAAGATCATTTGGGGCTCCAGGAGCTACAGTGAGAAGCTGGGACTTTGTTTTAAGGACACTGGCAGTGGGGGAGGGGGAACTTACACTCAGAGCGAAGGTTGGAAGAGTTAAGTGGAGGCTGGGACCCAAAGGAGATGACTGGAGTAGGGACCCACGTGTGGGCAGCCAGGTCTAAGCCATGCGGGTGAGGAGAGAGATCCTCAGAGGACAAGTTGTAAGGGATCTGCAACAAGACCTGGGGCTCAAAGGTAATCAGGGAGGGCTTTCTGGAGGAGGTGGCACCCAGCCTGAGACCCGGGGGATTGTTGCGCTACTTGTTGCTCATTTCTCTTAGCTCAGATATGACCTCCTCCAGGAAGCCTACTTGAAATGGGGCCTCAGGGGCAGTTTGGGAAAGAGGTTAAGGACACTTGAGAACATGGTGAGTATAAGGGGCTGAGGACACCTGGGAGGAAGTGTCTAAGAAGCCATGGGACTTCCAGAGCTGGAATTCAGGAAGGTGTGGGGAGTTGGAGACAGCTTTGGAGTCAAAAAGAGAACTGAAGCTGTAATAATGCAGGGGTCCGGAGGGGCTCAAAGGTAATCAGGGAGGATTACCTTTCATTTCCTTGCACTGAAACCCCACTTTCACCACCCAACCTTCCCACTGATACTCCACCTGTGCAAGTAGGGTCCTGGGAGACAAGAAAAGAACATTTGTACTTAGTCCTGAGGGCAGTGGGGAGCCACAGAAGGGTTTTGAGCAGAGGCAGGACAGCTTAGATTTCAAGTTCCAATTCAGAAGTATTCACCATTCGTGATGGTGTGTTGTTATTATTGTTGTTTTACATATTTAATGATTTTCAGATCAAGCCTTGTCTCCTAATTGAGGCACCTTCTAGGAGCCCTTGGAAATAAAGGTTCTGCTCCTCAAAACAAAACAAAACAATGCAAAAAAACACAGTTTGTCACACCTGTGCTCTGTTCTCTTTTCTGTAGACTTGACTACAGACAACTGATTATTTAAACCAAGGAGTCTGCACAACCAAGTGAAAATTGGCTCCTCTAAACACGAGAGTATTTTTGTTTTGAACCCTAAGGACGGTCCGTAGGTTTGTCAGTGTCTCCTGGGATGGCTTAAATTGACCTTAAATTTCACTTTCAAGCTGTGATGCCCTT